TCCTCCACAACTAGATTGAAGAACAAAAAAACGATAGCAACTTCTCTGTTACCCTTCCCCCAATTCCCCAATAAAAATCTTTAAAAAAAAAAAAGATATTAGTTTATATTTACAATCACTAGTTCACACAATGCTTAGAATGGAAAACAAACGTATAACATCTCACCCATGCTGTTTATATCTTAGCAACTTGCTCTTTTCTTCATGCTGAACAGTCCTTATGTCTACATCAGGCCTGGAATATCATGCTTTGTACATCAGTTCAAAACAAACTTATTAAGGAACTTCGATTTGTAGGGTGGTGATTTTGAATGCAAATTCTGGGTCTAACCAGTATTTCTTGGAAATGTTTCCATTACATCATGAAATGGCATTCACTGTTGTCCACATGTATACTTCTGATAACCTAACAAATTTCAAGCACCTTTTCTAAGATTCAAAACCGTAAAATGAAACTCAATACATTTATAAAATTATGCCCAACCAAATAATTTAAAGACAACTCCCAGTTACATTTTTTCTTAGTAGTTCAGGCTAAATTCCTACATACAGTTCCCCCCCCCCAAAAAAAATGCCTGAATATAATAACAGGCCGTTTATGGTCCCTACAGGTGGAATCCTGAGATACAGAGCAGCACAATCTAAGTACAAAGATATTTTTACCTACTAAGCTTTTACCTACCCACGTGCCTTAAATCAAAATGCTTTGGCTGAACCCAGACTTCAGAATGAAAGGCTCTACCCAGTCTAGCTCTGTTCTTGCTGCTTGTGACGCGATACAGTAATGTGCCCAGCGAGAGGCTGCTGCCAGTGCCCACCCTCCTTTCTCACCCTTGACTTTACCTTGGCTTGGGCACTTCCAACTGCCCTGTCCATCTCCTCTTCTTGAGCTTTCGGCTCTCCACAAGAGCCACCAGGCAAAACAACAACAAAATGAGTCTTGTAAAATAAGGCATTTTGTGACTATGATGCCACAAGCTGCTTTCCAGTAACCTGCAGCAGGGCAAATCTCCCCGGGCTTAACCATTGATTCAGTCTGCTGCCACGTGACACTGCTTCTCAGAGGGGCTGCGAGGGCATGGCTGGCCAGGCTGATTTTCCTGATTTTATATTTGATACTGATGCTTCTCCCACCCCAACCCCCACTCCCCAGGACATGACACAAACACCAAAGCTTTTGTCCTCTCTGCTACTTAGTGATTGGTCATTAGTCAACAAGTTTGTCCTCCTGTGAAACTCGGCTTCCGCTGAGTTCTAGAACAGCTTTGGCTAAAACTGTTATATAAAAAAAAAATAAAAAAAATTAAATCTCTTGAACATGCCAGCTTTTTGCTGAGATCATTAATCTGTCTCTCTGGCTACCTAAAACCAGTCTGTTACATTCGGCAGTGAGTCAGATCGTTTTCTGAGTGGATTTGCAGGGAAGACTTCTGGACAGGAGATGAGTATATGAATGTGTTCAGAAAATGCTGAGTAAACACAGGGTTGCTTTATTTCTTGATCAAAGAGACTGTGCTTTGCCTGTGACCAAGGATGCTTGCTTTTCCTCCATCAGTTTTTTTCAGTGAGAACACAACTCAGCAAAGCATAAAACACATTTTGATTTTGAAGAAAAGCATCAACCAAAACAGAATTCATGATTATATAAGCTCTTCTTCCCATAAGCATTAGATTAACTTTGGTCTTTCATCCCAAAATGTCAAACCTCATAACTTAGGCTTGATGCCTACCCTAAGATATAGAATTATGAACATCAGCAGTGTAAACATACATGTGCTTATGTTTAACCTAATGAACAGAACAAAATGTTTTAAAATTACTTATTGCTTGCCTGCTGCACCCTGGGGATGAAAAGTTTTGTGTGGTAGATTAGAGATGAAGATGAAGGTCAGGAGGATCAATAGCTAGAAGGGAAACCAAATTGTGGTTTTATTATGTAAAAAATAATCAAAAGGAGCTCATTATCATCGCGCTCTTCCCGGGTGAGGCAGATCGGTCACCAGCCACTGGACGGCCGCTCATGGCGGCTCTTGGCAGCTCATGCTGGCTGCCAGCCACTCACGGTAGCTTTACGGCAGCCCACTGCAGCCTCATTGCAGCCTACGTCGCCACCAGACTCACAGCAGCCCAGTTCCAGGTTGAGCTGTTGTTCATCATCTTAGCTGTAAGGGCGAGCGTCACTGGCCCTCAATGTGGGATCCAAACCGCAGCCCTGATGCTCAGAGCTGGCGCTCCCAAACGAGCCCTTAACCAGCAGAGCCACTCAGCCGGCCTTGTCTACAAGTTTTATTTTGATGAAATATAACTTACCTCCTTTTTCTTTGGTTGCTTATGCTTTTGATCTCATATCTAAGGAACCACTGACCAACCCATGGTCACAAAGACATACTGTTTTCTCGAGTTTTATAGTTTTTGCTTTTCCACCAAGGTCTTAGATCCATTTTGAGTTAATTTTTGTATGTGGTGTGTGAGGCAGTGGATGTATAACACTTGTTCATTTCTCTCAGGACAGAGGATTCACCCCAGTGGCTCAAGCTCAGAGCTGTGGGAAGGCCCCAGTAGCATTTGCTGAGATCAGATTAGGCCAGAGGGTCAGGTGGGATCATGGTCACACACATCCTTGTGTCCTGCACATTAAGAGTTTGGGCCTGTCCTCCACAACTAGACTGAAGAACAAAAGGACAGCAACTTGTCTATTCGCCTTCCCCCAATTCCCCAGCACTGTTCCCATGCCCCAATTCCCCAATAAAAAAAATCTTAAAAAAAAAAAAAGTTTGGGCCTGTAAGGGCAATGGCGAGACAAGGTCAGATCTGTGCGCTGGAGAAGACTGGCTACAGTGTCAGGAATGGGGCAAGACTAGAGACCTGTTTGAGGTTATTGCACTAATTCAGAGGAGATGATAGCTAAATAGGGTAGTGGCAGTGAGCATGAAGAGAAGTGGAAAGATACGAGAGAATATTCAAGGATGTAGAATGGATAGGAGATAAGACCGAATGACATAAAGAATACAACCTTTGGTCAAAAAAAGGTATGAATAAAGTCACTGGTTTTATTGAGCATCTCAAACTAGTTCTGAAGGCAACTGTTAAAGAGGCGTTCCAAACAGCTTTTGAGCAATGTACAGCCTCCCACAAAGGCTTTCATAGCACGTGTTAATGCACACATTATTCTTTGTTAAAAGTCAGGTCCACTACAAGCAGTCACCTTTCATATACTTACTTGCAAGTAATAAGACAAAATAGGCTTTTCAGGACTTCAGCCTAGGTTTCTGCTCAAGTAAGTCCAAATGTGTGAGGTTTGCTTGTTTACTGATTATAGTCTATAAAAATGGGAGGTCTCCAAATACCAGAAAGTTTATTCATAGCTAAAAATAAAACATTTCTTATTCTCCTGAAATAGTAAATTTTATATTTCCATAGTCAAAATAATAAACAATTTTTAAAGGTTTTAAAAATTAGTTGAGAATTTTGATGAAATTAATTTATTTCAGTAGAATAAAAACAATAAGCAGCATGAAAATATAAAGTGCTACATAAAGCCCAACAGTACATAAAATTTTAAAGGTTTCATTTGCTTAAACAATTACAGGTGAAACAGACATTATATATATTTTTTCAAGCATGCTACTTTAACTACCTTTGTGTGTGGGCATGTGCTATATATTGGCCAAAGAAAAAGTCACTGAGGTACCTAAATCAAAGGACTGGGCAAAGAAGGAGTCCTAAACCTTTACCTGCCAGATCATACATCCAGTTCTGACCTTATGCTATAATTAAGGGGTTAAAGTGGGGCTTTAAAAATAATAGTTTTCTGAAGAGGCCCATCTGGTGGGGTTTGAATAAGACTGGCCCCAAAGTTCAATTTTGCTCATTAACTCCACAATGGGGGTCAGATTGGCAACTTCAAGATTTTTAAGTAACCTGAGCTGTAAGGGAAGGAGCAAAAACTATGTCACTTTCAGATGCTATCAGGTATTAAAAAAAAAAAATACCAACACAAACAAGAAAGTGGCCTGTCAGTGATGGGTGAGGGAAAAGAGGCAAATCAGAGAGAAGGATTTGTAGAATGCAAAATCTTCTTGGCTTAATTAATTTGAAAGTATAGGTACACCCCATGGACACATACAACAAAATGACAGATTCAGAGGCTGGCTCAAGTGTGACTGAGAGGAAGTAGAGAGAAGGTTGTTTCTAGCACAAGATTAATCTCAGCATAGTTTGAGAGCACAGGGATTTCCTCTTCTCAGGTGATAACATTACCTGGTCTTCCAGGGTCAGTGACCTCTTGCTAGGGCATTGATCATTGAACCAATATTCCTAATATCTTATGTTCCAAATCAAGACTTCAGAATTTTCTCATGGCAATAAAGTTATTAAATGGTAACCTATAATTTGCCTGACATATGAGGTCTTCATAAAGTTTTTTGGTTTTTTTTAGACTTTACCAACATCAGTTATGGGTAGATACAACAGAAACAATCTGTAAACACTTTCAAATGCTAATTTCAGAATTTAAGACAACTATATATTATATAACAGTATACATATGTCTTTATTTTAGATGCAGACATAAAGGACAACTGACTATCAGATGAAAACCGAAATTGTGTCTGATAGTTAATCAAAGTCCCAAAGTAGGAGTAAAAATTAAATTTGCCTTTAAATTCATTTTACAAATTGTTTCTATCTTGTCTGTAGTTTAAGTTAGTTAAAACCACAAAAGGACTTAATGGATATCATCCCCCAAAGTATTCGAGACTAACTTTTGTGGACTGTTCTAGAGCTTAAACACTATTTACAACATTGTGTTGTAAAAAAAGATTAACTTACAAATACACTTTTAGAGCATAACCTGTTTGAAAGCTAGGGACTGCCTGTATTTAAAAATTAAATCTTCATTAACAACACTCTCAAGAGTATCTTCAATACTGCTACTGAACATGCTGAATACAATGTTTTTCTGACTATATGTTCTCACCAGGCATTATGATGGTAAAAATATCTACTAGAGTTTGTGGAGCTAGCTAGCACTAAGTTATATATTGATTTTGCATTGAAAATTATTTTTTGAGCTTTGATTAGGTGGACAATTCCAAGTAAAGGTTTTTCTAATTTCTATTACTGTTGCTTGGGCCCTGAGCTTTTCTATTGAAATGGTACATGAACTATTTCAACATTATGCATATTCCAGAATTAAATTTATAGTGATTACAAAGCTAGGCATATATACATCTCAAAAGATATACAATTCAGGGGGCCAGCCTAGTGGCTCAGTTGGTTAAGAGCTCGCACTGAGCAACAGGGTCACCAGTTCGGTTCACGGTCCGAGGTGAGCTGCTGCTGAGCTGCCAACAGGTGGCAGGATGGCTCAGCTAAAAAAAAAAAAATGCAATTCAAAGCAGACCAAACATTCAAATCTTAAGATCCTCCCAGTTAACTTCTGGAATAAAATCAAGTGATTTCCTAGCTTGGACCCCTCCTTCCTTTCTTAAAACAAAGATCTATGGAGGATTCTTTCTTTTTTTTTTTTTTTAATCTTATATGCACATTGGAGAGAATGGGCTAACAGCATATCAAAGTGGTTACAAAGCATTATTCTCTCTTCAAGTAACATCCAATAACCAAGATGTCATTTCCTCATAAATGTTTGACTGAAAGTTAACTTTCATTGAAGAATGTTTAGGACACAAAATATGTCACAGAATGGGTAATCCCAGTATGTTTCCTATGAATAACATTTTGAGTAAGTTATTAGAGGGGTTTTACTTTCCCTTTTCAACTCTTATCCCTGTATTATTCTAACATAAGTAGAAACAGAGTACTCAATAAACGATACTGAGTAACTACTAATACTCACTGGAACTTAAAACACCATCTTTTATCCAAAAATTCAAAAGGGCTATACAGAAAAGTATCACAAATTTACATAAAAAGAATCTGAGGCATGAGAAACAAGTTATTTCCCTGTAAAGCAGGTCATATAGTGAGACAAGGGACTTGACTTCCAGTCCCTTAAACTAAACAGGACACAGTCTGAATGTCTAGCCATATTTATACTGAATTTATAAGGATCAGAAAAGGAATGAAGGGTAAATACAAAACAATTTTTTTGTAAACAATTCTTAGATTATACCCAATGCAGAATGTTTAATGAAGCAGTTGAGTCACAGCTCTTAAGACAAAAAACAATATTATAACTCAAAGTCAAATATGTACTCATTGGCCAGATATATCCGTCGGAATATGAGAGCTGCCAATGCCAAAGTCAAGATGACAATCAGTACAGCAGATCCACCATGATCAGTATGGTTGTCTCTTGGCTGATGGCCCTGGATTACATCTGGTGAAGCAGATGACCTTCTTTGACTCTGCTGCTGGGCCCTGCGCTGTCGAGGACTCATGGAGGTATTCTTAGCTGCAGGTTGGACAGGTTGTTGAAGGGATGCTCCCGAGGGGTTCGAGACTCCATTCTAGGAAATTTTAAGGAATTTTGTTTGAAATTGGCCAAGAAAATGTACATATACCTATAATCTATTCAAGAGTACAAAGAATCTCAGAGCACTAAATATGACGAAGGGCAAAACTACCAAGAATTATCTGAGTGCTGAGACTAATAACTCACCCTTCTGAGTAAGCCAACAACACAACTTATTCTGAGTACTCACCAGGTGGAGGAGGAATTTACCAGCAACAAATAAGGACAGAGTTTACCCATTTTCTCCATAAATGGCTTTCTGCTCTCCCTCAGCTGCAATTCCAATAGAATCTGCTCAGTATCCCGGTACCCACCTTCTTTCAGGAAGGAAGCAATTTGCTTTCCACTTTCTAATACAAATTTGCCATTCTCAACGGCAACAGCGTGCCTCTCAGGAACCATGTTTCTTTCAATATTATCAACATGCTTTCTATGCTTTCTATCAAAGAACATAGGAAATAATTTCAAACCATATGTTCTTCACAGCAAACCAAGCTTACTTATCCCTTCTCACAATTCTTGTCAACTGAATTAAGAACCCTTTACTGTGTGTTTGAACTGTGTTACTTTATGTGATGTCAAGAGATCCCTGGGTCCATGCTGAGAAAAATTTTGAGGTAGCTGTGGAAGGCTCAATGTACCTACTCTGCACTTTTGCACACTAGTTGCTCCCCATAAAGCACTGGATGTCCACTGCTTTCTATCCTTTAATGACTGCTTTCAAAGCATAACCACAATGTAGTGCCAAGTGATTAAAAAACTTATAGTCTATAGGGAACAAAACTCTATAAAATATGAATTCCTTTTATTTATACAGATACTTTAACTCTAGCCATAATAACCTAATGGCCTTTAATTCTTTTACTGAAAACAAGTTTATACTGATTATATTAGTGCCAGAACACTTTCTTTATTAAAAAAAAAGAGAAAGTTTTATTCAGAATAACTTTAAAAATTGGGCAAATACAAAACATTTTAAATACTTCCTATTAGAGAAAACTTTAAGTATTTAGAAGAAAAAAGAATCTAATAATGTAATTCAAATACCTTTTTAAAAAGGTAAGAGGATGGGTTTTATGGCAGCAACAGCTATAAACATTAGGGAAAAAAACTGCTTATCTAAGTTACCTGCAGAAAAAAATTACATTTTAAATCCGACATTCATCTTAGCATTTAAAGACTTAAATAATTTGAATTTCTTAAAACTATCCTTTGGAAGCACTCAAATGTAGTAACCCATAATACAGCAGTAAAAAGGAACTACTGACGTTGAGTTAAAAGTTAAGTTAGTGCTGCTATAAATTAGAGTTGCATGAACGTGGACTTCTTCTATACTATGGGACGCCCAGGAGCAATCTGATCACTGAAGAAAGAACATACATACCAAGCTGCAGCATTTTATGTGTCATATTGTCACAGGCATCATATAGCGACTTAATATATACTCACTGAGTTGAACTGAGTTATAGCAGCCAATAAAACAACATTCCATTTGAAATTTCCCATTCTTTCAATTGCTCGGCCAAGATAAAAGTGTCTGAATAGAGCAAAAGTACTCAAGGCTTATAAAGGGAAATGGGTTCTTAAGGGAAATAAAAAACATGATGGTCCTATCAATCCAGAAACTAACACAAGAGACTGACTCAGCTTAAAGCTTTTATTTTATACATGTCATTTTTCCCTTTGGTTTGAGAGGAGAACACTATCCTGCCTCTATACCTGACTAAAACAGGGAGCCTTACTAAAACAGGGATCATTACACATTTGTAAACGTGTGACCCCAAACAAGTCATTAAACCTAAGAGTCGGCTTTCACATCTGTACAACCAGGCTAAATCCAAGTTAGTAGTTGTGAGGTTTAAAAAGGATAATTATATAAAGTGCTTAGGGTACACAATTACTTACTAAATGTTAGTTATTATTAATAATGTTACCATTAATATATTCATTAGGATTTAGGTTAAAAAAAGTCATGATGGTACTTAGGGCAGATCTTCAGACCATTATTAGTATGATTAATATAGTTAGAACAATCCCTTAAACATTGACTTTAGATGATATTTTAGTACATGTACTTAATGGGAATACTTACATATACTGCTTTAATTAGGTTCTATATTTCTGATTCCTTTTGGATAATATATTATTGACTAAAACCTAGTACTGCGCTATTATAAAATTCTAAAAATTTTCCTATCGAAAACAGTCACCTCAAGGGAAAACTGTAATGACCCCAAGGTGTAGACCCTGAGGAACCTAGATTATTTGGAGTTGAAGGACTAATTGGACTAAATTTTAGCACTTCATATTGAACTGCCAGATGGAGAATCAAGCTGGCTTTCGCATTTTCAAAATGCTTTCTGTTTGATGGTAGGACTTCTAAATCTTTGCTGTTTGCTTAAACTTGTCCAAACACTTATATCACTGAATGAAGACTTGCATCATAATAGCTTCCATTTCCTTAACTAAGATAAAGCGACCATTTCTGGGAAGGTGGATGTATGGGATGCTTGTACTTAATTAAATTTAAGTATTTTTTTAAAAAGTCACAGTCACAAATAAGTCACATATAAATTTTCCTCTAATAATCTGGAATAACTAGCATCTGTGAGGGAGTTTTGTGTTTGCTTTTCAATACAAAATAAAATGGCTTAATCAGAACCTCAATCTCTGGGAAGAGGAAAAAAATCTGATATACTGAAAGAACATGAAACTACCACCAGTATTTTTCTCATTTCTACATAGCAAAAATTCTGCATCAACAAGCAACAGATGGCCTAATGTTATCTGCTGTATTTAGATTTCGGGCAATCTCTCGCCCCCTCAAGGCTAAAAAAACAGCTTATCTGGGATTTGATGTATAACATCTCAGTAAATTTATATTGCACTTGAAAGGAAAGCAGCCACCTCTAGCCAAAACCACGTTTCAGTTGCCTCTATAGTGATCAAATTATGTAATCACACTCTGAAATTTTTACATAAGTGTAATTAAAAGTTTAACTTGCAACTGTATACAATTTATTACTTGTCAGTGTTTTAACCAGAATTGGTATCTATGAAAGAATTCTAAGTTTTATGTACTTTAAAACCAAAATGAAAAAAACTATTCTAATAACATTATTGTTTGTGCTATCTAATTTACTTAAACTTCTTGATTTCTTCAACTGTATTCCTAGTGCTAATCTTAAGATTCATTTATTCAATCAACGAAAATGTACTGACCCCCTACTATATATAAAGCACTATGCCAGGCAGATCCTCAAGGAACTTACAGTCTAGGAAGTGAGACAGATGATAAATAATTAATTACGGCTGGAATAAATATAACTGGAATATGCAACAGGGGAACCTGACACAGATTTAAAATAGACTAAAGACAGATTTATATACATCATAAGTATTAGGATATTGTCCTTATAGGTGAAAAAAAAAATTACTACCCTCCTCTCTGTAATAGGAAGTTTCTACTTCTAAAAAAACTATTTATGAAAGAAACAACTAGAATTTTAAAGGTGAAAAGTTAAAACACACACTGACTAAAATGAATTCATTATATTCCTCTACATTTATAAAATTACATGGAGAGCATGTAAAACCAATTTAAATGTAAACATACACTTTTTTCGTTTAACTCCATCTCCAGTCCACCAAGTGTAATACTGCCTTCAGGGCACCTTCTTCTCCCTTGCCTTCCCCAGTCTACTTCTCTGCCATCTCACTCTCTAAATAGGAGAGAGCCACTCAAGACTATTCAGTCGCACTTTACAGTAAATTATTCCTGAGTCAAGAGCAAATCTGTATTTGCACAGCTTCTATTCCAATTTTTCTGACCCCTTAAAATTCTCTACAAACTGGAAGGGGGAGGGAGAGACGTGGTTACTCAACCAAACAATCTGTTACCAAAAAGACCCCAAACAACAGTTCCTCTCTTATATACAGAAAGTCAATGTTTTCCTCCATAATCCTAATTATTTAACAACAATTCAGTCACATTTTCTTAGTCTCTCTGATGACCTAGGCCCACCAATATTTGGACAACAGCTCAGGGCACAACTAACAGCAACCATAGCATTCATTCAATAATTACTTATTGGACAATATGTGCAAGGCAGGACTTTTTGTGATGATGATCATGTTCGTTATCTGAGCTGCCCAATATGGTAGCCATTAGCTGCATGTGGCTGTGAATTACTTGAAATGTAGCCATTGGTGACTAACTAAATTTTTAATTTAATTAAATTCTGAATAAATATAAATTTTGATAGCTACATGTGACTAGTATCTTCTATATTGGACAGAGCAGGTTTAAGGCAAATCTTTGGCTCCAGGCCTTTCTTAAGTTAGTGCGTTAATGCAACTTAACAAACCTGCCAAAGATAGGCTGTCTAGTTAGAGAGTGGCTAATATATGTATATTTTATGTAGCACTATTTTGAAACGAACTATTCAGAGAAGTCATAGAATTCTGGAAGGATATAGGACCTAAAAATTATTTAGTCCAGCCCCATTTAACAAAAAATAAGGCCCAGAAAATATGAATAACTTGCTTAAGATAATATTCATTAAAGGGAGAATTGGGCTAGAATCAAACTGTTAGGAGAACCAAAATATTCAGATATTTTCTTTAGGGATCTCCTCCTAATGCAAATAATGATATAGAAATATGTATATGTAAAAGATAAGAACCATACCGATGTACTGGCTGTAGCACCCTGGAATGTTGTAGGTATATTGTCCTGTAAATCATTTAGTGAAAAAGAGTGGTTTAAGTCCGAATCGGCGATAGTCTTTCCAGATGAATTGACTTCTGCCTGTAAAAAAGATACACCCAAGAGCGGTGTTACAAGAGGAGATGTACAGAATATCTAGAACCTACTAAATCCCCTTTCTTATATTTACTTTAATTGCTCCTTTAACATCAACATTAATCAGTTAAGCATTGAGCACTCATGTGTCTATGCTAGTTATTACAGGAAGAGGCACACACAACTCCTGTTCTCAAGATGTTACTTGGCAAGGGACAAAACTAACTCAACATTCACAATACACAATTTCCAAACTTCTAAAATATAAAGTTTTTTGTAATTTTCAGGCAACGCCTGACATGTGAGGCTATTAACAGTCTTTATGCCACGTTAGTGTAAATATTCCCAAGTTTACTGATAAAATATTACTAATGAATTTGATTATGGGGTACTGCCCCAGATCCCACTATAGGCGTTAATATGTGGTATATGTTTGATAATTTCTAACATCTAAAATTCTGATGTACAAAACACATCTGGCCCTAAGGTTTTCAGAGAAGTGATTTTATGTACAATAGAAATCCTCAGAAGGAAGAAAATAATCAACATTTACTGAGTACCTCCTCTTTCAGGCACAATAAAATAGAAGGTAAAATTTCTCCCAAAACTGGACCCTGGAAGGACAGACAGAATATAGAGAGGTAGAGAAGAGGGAAGAGGTAACATGTTGCTTAATGCAGGTTGATTTTTTTTTTTTATGGAGCTAATTAAATTCCAGAAGTAATTGTATGCTTGGGTAAATATATGCAGAAAAAAATATAAGGGAGATATGCCAAAATATTAGCAGCAGTCATTTCTTGAGGATGGGATCACACATGATTGTTATTTTCTTATTGCTTATCTATATTTTCTATAATAACTAAAACTTATTAAGCACCAGGGACAGTTCAAAAGGCAATACATTTGAGTATTATTAAACTCACATAATCCTGATAAGAATCCTACAAAATAAGTACTGTTATTATTTACAGGTGAGAAAAAGGCACAAAGTGGTTAAGTAATATATCTGATGTCCTAGTACTAATAAGCAGCAGAGTTGGGGTTTGAACCCTAGCATTGTATACTAGAGTCCAAGCTTTTAACCACTATGCCATATAATGCCTTTGTGAATGTATATATAGTTTTATAATTTAAAAAAAATTGTTTGTAAAAACCTTATGGCAATAGAACAATATTGCTTTATTTTCTATCCAGAATTTGAAAATAAGTAAAAGGGCTACATAATTAGGATTTATTTATCAATTTACAGTACCTTAAAACTGATTTGTCTTGCCAGTTCCTTGGCTTCCTGGTCGGCCTTGCTTGAATCACTTCCAGATTTTAAAGGCAGCAGGACACCCTTCATGGCACAGCCACATCCCTCACAACAAAAATCTTGTGACCTGGTAGGAAATAGTTTTTTTGAAAGGTTTAAACCAAATACTTGAATGTTAATTCCTGACACTCAAATAATGAATGATTGAATTTAAAAGAAAAGAACACAGGATAATTCCATATCACATTCATCTACATGTATATTAGACAATTATGACAATGATTATTGTTCTGAGACAAATACACAAGTTAGGTTGGTATAAAAAAATTCATGCCAATTATATCTCAATTTTTAAAAAATCTAAAATTAAAAATAAACTTCAGTTTAGATTCCATTATTTTCCCAACATACTATCTGAAGAAAAGTAAGCTTTAGATTCATATGACAAAATATATAAACTAACTATACTGTCCTCGAGATCATACATAAAAGCCTAAGTTAAGACTGTGAAAAAAGTCCATTATAAAGCTCAAATATTTTCAGCAGAAACATATAAAACAGCAAAGCAGCAACTAAAAATAGAATTTACAGGTATTTCCAGGGAAAAAAGCTCACAAATCCTATTTATCTAAATAGCAGTACAACTGGGAAGACAGAATACTTGTGGAAACTCCAAAGACTCTGAAATTTATCACTCATTATATTAAGTAGATACTCAAGATAACCTGTTAACTAGACTTTCCTAAGATTTATTTGTTTTTCTACATTTTCGTTTTCTCCTTTGTGTTCCAAATACAGCCCAAAGTGCCCTAAAGCTCACAAGAGTGCTGAGGATTTGTATGACTGAAAGTAAATATGTATAATCTGTAAAAATGTATATTGCTAAATTTCTGACCTTTTTAAAAAATTGTTTTATTGTACTTCTAGTTCAACATAATAAAAGCCTTAGGTCTTGAAGAACATGCTATTTAAATTTATTAAGTAGCTTCATGTAAACAAAATATATGTAAAAGTAGTATTTAAATATTTACTGATGAATATTTTTTGTTTCAGCAGAAGCAACATTGCTATCTATATATCCTTTTGATAATCAGTTGTATCCAAATTATCTGCTTTTAAAATGAGTCCACTGTTAACTGAGAAGTTAGATGAAATTTAAAGTTGAATATTTGTTTTGAATATACTAGTTTATCCAAAAAGATAGTAAGCTACCATAATTCAATGCTAAATCAGGTTTTTAAAAAGCCTCTAATACAGACTAAAAGCCTCGAATAAATATGAACTAAGAACCTAGAACCTCATACACTGAGATGTCTAGAACAACAAAAAAAACAAGTTTGTTTTTTTTACCTTGTACATGAAATGGACTGGATAGAAGTATCAAAATAGAAAGCCAACATAACAAATAAAACAAATGCCATGTATTCAAAGTACATATTATAATTTGTGACTAGTAGCTGCAAGTAAGGTAGATCCTCAGAACTTGGGAATATGATTTAAAAGAAAAGTTGTTAATGAAACCAGGGACTCTACCAAATCTTCCAGACACTAAAATCTATTTGATTTAACAAACATCTGTACGTGGCCTAATTTAATTCATATAATATGAAGAGTGGCAGGCAGCAGAGTCCAGAACAGGAAAGTGATCAAAATCAAGAATTAGTCTTAGCACTCACTACTCAAAGGAGAAGACACGCTGAATCTAATGAGTAATCTGGGTTACACAGACAGAATGCACCAGGAAAACACTGAGAAGGCAATTCCACTAGGAAACCACAACTTGATAAAAGAAAATCTCCTTTGCTTTATTCCAGATCATTTATTGAGCACTTGCTATGAGCCAGATACTGTAGATACAAAGATGGATACGTAGGGTCCTTTCCTACCCTCAAGGAGTTTTTCATCTTGTGGAAAGCTACATATAAATAATTGCTCTAGTTCTTTTTCATCTGTAAAACTGCCCAAGTGGAGACAAATGACCAGTACTGTTTTCTAAAAGAAGATATCTCCCACTGTAGGTTGATTATTATCAACTACTTTCTAAAACTACATAGCACGAAATCAATTCTTTAGACTCTGGTCACCCCTGGATAAAATTGGTACAATTGAATTTCTAAAATAGCAAAACTAATACTAGAACCTGTAGCCAAGGTAACTCACAAAGTAAGAGACAGAGCCTATCTCCTAATAGCCATTATCCAGAATAGTATTTGGATCTTAACAAAGAATGAAACGCAGAACTTACTTTTTGGCAAGTGCTCTTCTTTCCTCAGGTGTGTAATCTAGAGAACCTATGGCTCCCTCTCCTTTTGTTGGCATAAACCCAATGATGGCTAATAATGCTGTTCTTACTGGAATAAAAAGTAAACATCAATCTAAATTGCTTTGTAAAAGCAACTGGGTTTATTCTGGAAAGAGAAAACAAGACTCAGGCTTTCACCGAAGAGGTTCGGGCAGGAGGGTTATAGTAAAATGAGGGCCAAAATCTAGATAAGGGAAAACATTTTTATTATTTACTCAATATCAAATTATTTATCAAAGACAGCTTCAATCTCAAGAGGGTATTAGACTTCATAATTATGAATTGACTAGTTATATAAGATTTACATTCACTTTAAATTAATACTCACTACTCCATGAAGGCTGCCAAGTTTCAGGATGATGTCCTGAGATGCTCAAACAGATTTTCTTGCCTACTTCAAATCGTCCATTAGCCTTAGGAATAAATAAGGCATTTAAAAGTTATATGTGTTTAATGTTTTATACTTCATAAGTATAAATATATTTTGCATGTGAATAATTTTGGAAGATAATTTAAAATAATGCAATCGCTAAGGGGATACAGATTTTTGGCCTCTTATAGACACTCCACAAATACTTGTTGGATTCTCAATGAATAATAAAAGCTGTTTTTAGAAGTTGTTGTACCTTTCTGAAACTTAGATGTACAACTAAAATCTCAATAATTGATATATAAAGATGTCTTGATGTCCTCCTCAGTGCCTAGTATAGTGCTAGGCTCTGTAAAGGATCTAAAAAAGAAGACATGCAGAGACTAGGACACAGCGGAAAGACTTGGTATCACCTAACTAGATATCTGTGAGGAAGGTCAGAGGTGAGAGTGATTTTCAGAAGGATGATGCAATTTCATAAGATAGGACCACAGAGGAGGAAGATCAGTGATAATGATTTCAGTTTTGGACATGAATCTATTTTCTTAGTAGAAGATGATATCCAGCAGGCAGGTAGAAATACAGACAAGCTGATGGCAGAAGAAGATACTCATTTTTGGTGCCTGATTTTGCAGAGGCGATCATTGAAGCCATTTCACAGACACAAGAGAAAACAGTTGAAGTCTGAACTTGTAAAATAACCGTACTTAGGGGAAAGGTAAGGAAGAAGAGGCACAAACTTAGAATATAGGCTTCACAATGGGCAGAGAATTTGGCTTATTCTCTGCCACACCCACGGGGTGAGTGACACGTGTTTAATAAATATTTGTTGAATGAAGGTTGGAAAGAGAGGAAAGTTTTAAAAAGAGAGGAAGTAAATCAGAAAGAGCAAATACTGAAAATTAGGAGGGCAGGGCTAATTCTCAGCCACTGTGCAAAATATGACCATACCATTGGTTAACTCTTAAAATATTTCTGTACTTGTTGGTGAACAGCTGCTGCCCCAACTATCCCCCACCAGTTTCCCCGTGCACTGGCCCCTCCCCCTGGACCACTTGGCTCTCCCCATGCTCCAGTAACTAAAAGAAGTGACTCTTAACACAGTAGGGCCCCTCCACGACCCTGCTGCCAGCTTAAGAATTCTAAACATCACCTAATATTAGTTAAGCAGCTTCTACACGCAAGGAACTTTATAGTGTAATTATATTTACCACACACAACTCTTTTGATGGATGAAAAAACTAAATTTCAAAGTGAGTATGTAACCTGTGCATGGTGTAATGAAAATAGCACTGGTCAGTATCGGTCTAGTGGCTCTAAAACTAATGCTCTTTCCACTACACCAAATATAGGTAAAAGCAGCATTAATTTGGTATTTATTATGAATGCCTTTTGTTTCACCATTTGCTACCCAATGAGCGTCAGATGTTTAATCTACATGCAAATTCATGAAGACTGTAGTGAGCATGTGTGGAAATCAGACTGCAGCAGGCTAAACCAGAGTAAGGATGCCTTGAAGGTTATCAAAGAGAAAAACAGGGCAGCAGCATAAAGTGGTAAGCAGAGATAAGGAAAGGTTTTTGTGTTTTCTTTTTGCTTGTCTCAAGGTTGGGGATAATTAAAAACACTTGTAGGACTGGTCAAGTGGCACACTGGTTAAGCGTTGGCTTGAGATGCCAGCTCTGAGCAGCAGGGCCCCGGTTCAGATCCCACATGAGGGCCAGTGACACTGCCCTCTACAGCTAAGATGGTGAACAAAAGCTCGACCCGGAGCTAGGCTGCCAGGAGTTGCCAGCGACAATGTAGGCTGCAGTGAAGCTGCAGTGGGCTGCCATAAGCTACCGTGAACGGCGGGCAGCCAGCGTGAGCGGCCATCCAATGGCCTGCAAGCGACTGCCTCACCCAGGAAGAGCGCAATGATAATACCAACATGGGCCAGTGAAGCAACGTCCTCCACAACTAGACTGAAGAACAAAAGGACAGCAACTTGTTTGTTCCCCTTCCCTGATTCCCCAGCACTGTTCCCCTCCCCCAAATCCTCAATAAAATCTTTAAAAACAAAACAAAACCAAAAAACACTTGTAAATTAGAGGAAATGAGGTAAGGAAAGCTTAATAAGAGAGGAAGTTACTGATGGAAAACGTCCTAGGAAAGAGAAAATTGGATCGATAGTTTTCCTTCACATGGAGATAAACATGTAAAAATAGAGAGAAATTCTAAGACATAAATATTTCGTAGTCGGAAAAGTCATGATGTATTTTTTCTTTTTTCGTTACAAAAATGTGTGATGACTTTTCTGACAACCCAATAGTAATTATATAGCTAATATTTATTGAGCAGTCTGTCATTTCTTATTCTAAGAGCTATACGTAAAAATGAGGAAAATAAAGAACAGAGTATAAGAAAAGTGAGAAGTTGAAGGAATGATGTGATTAAGAGGTACAATAACATCAGCTACCCTTTACTGAGTACTTACCATGTGCCAGACACTGTGCCTAGCACTTTGCATTCATTAGTTCATTGAATTCTAACAACCACACTATGCTAACTATATACCCATTAGTATCAATAATTCCTATAAATTATTTTCCGGGGAAAAAAATTATAGTACCAAGGCCTGGTTCCCAAAGGCAAAATTATAACAATGTCCCACTTTATTTCTTAATGTAAATCAGTATGTTGACCATACTTTGTAGCCACCATGATGAGTTAAATCACAAGCATTCCAAAAAGCCAAGAATTCTTACCGTTAGGAGAATAATGCTTGGTGGTTTCATGGGATATTCTGGTGGCAGTACTATTCGTCCATGATAAACTCCTCCGTCAAAATCAGAATCTGGGGGCCCTCTAACTGTGAAGTGCCACTCAAAAAGGTTATCCTGAACAAAAACAATAGCCAACAAGGAATCAATACAATTAAAAGTTTGATCATTTTTATCAACAACTACTAGAAAAATTAATATTTTATAATATTGCTAGAACAGTTTCTAATGCACAAAATGTCTCAAGTTTAAAAGTTACAAATAAAAGCTATTTAATCTAGTTTTCATATTCCATAAGAGCTAAATCTTTTTTAAAGAAATTTATTTAAATACATCTTGAGTGTTATGTGTTAATAAATAAGATTATAGGTTTAATTAAGCTAGAAATTAGTCCTTGAATACTAATTAGTGATAATTATTATACAGTTGATCTTTGAACATCATGGGTTTTAAATACATGCATGGTCCACTTATAGTATAGATTTTTTTCAATAAATACGTACAGTACTATAAATGTATTTTCTCTTCCTTATGATTTTAATAACATTTTCTTTTTTCTAGCTTACTTTACTGTAAGAATACAGTATATATAATACATATAACATACAAATATGTGTTAATTGATTATTTACATTATCAGTAAGACTTCTGGCCAATAGTAGACATCAGTAGTTAAGTTTTTGGGGAGTCAAATTATACATAGATTTCCACTGTGCAGGGGTTGGTGCCCCAGCCCCTGTGTTGTTCAAGGGTCAACTGTATAAACAAACAACTAAAAAAAATTTGGATTATTTTAACAAACTTTTAAAATTAGCCCTCATAGACAGACCTAAGAGCTTATTTATAAATGGTCAGTAATATTAATACATATGCTATCAACATCATCATACAGTTAACAAGTACTTTACAGTTTGCAAAATACTTGTGCATACAGTATTACATATTATTCTCACTATTACCATAGGAACCAGACTGAGTCCATTTAAAGGCCCTCCTTTTACAGATAAGAAGACTGAAGAGAGAGATCTGTCTGTACAAAAAGCCCAGACCAGCTGCAGAGACCTCTCAAGGGGCTAGGTCTTCCAAACTGTAAAAGAGTATTGGGTTCTTTCCACGTCCTCGTCTTCCCTCATGTTCAAGACCTAAAATCAACTGAGCATCTGAAACCCATTTTATAGAGAACAAAAATCTGCTTCTTCTAAAATGTCTGATTTTGAATGGTTAATGAAGTACTCAAGAAATACAAGGAGTAAAATATATTAATCAAACAAATCTGTAATGATTCAAAGCAATGAAGAAACAATTTTAAGGAATTTATTTAAAATATTAAAATCTATATGTAGAAAATGGAGACAGAAACTAACCTCTAAAGGCTGTGCATGGTAATGATCTGTTGGATCTTTCAATTCTGCCGCTTCTTTCATTAAACGTTTAACAGCTAAAATAAAATTCATAAAATAGAGACATTTAAAATATACTTTTCTAAGTGACTGGCACAGATTTACAAGCCTAATGAAAAAGTTTCTACTTTAACAAAACATGTATAGAGGACTGGTTCAACTGAGTATATGACGATGGCTTAATTATGGGATAATAGTAATAATTGGAGGGGAAGGGGAAAGAAATGGTAGCTAGGCATCGGAAAAGTTATACGCATATATTAAATTAAATATATAGGGAAGTCTCATAAAGACACTATATATAAGTACTTACATATACTTCCTATGTGGTTGCACTCAAACATTAACTCATATAATCCTCAAAACTACGCTATGAGATAGGTACTAGTTTTATCCCCATTTTTCGGACAGAAACTTCTCCAAGGTCACACATGGAGTAAATGACAGAGCTGAGATTCCAACACGGGCAATCCAATTCTACCTTGTTAAAATGTCTTTATTAACAAAAACAGAACTCATGCTCATGAACAGCTACCCCCACCTATATTTTCAACCTCTTTAGACTTTACACTCACTTGCATTCATTCAATGGGATTGTCCCCAGAAGTCACAGAAATCTCCATAGCCCTAGTTGATGTCCTTTTTGAAATGATTCTTCAGCTTAATTAAAACCTCCAATCCACTGACCCACAACTTTCTTTACCCCACCTATCCCTATATTTATTTCCCTTCTATATCCACATTCTTGGCCTTAGGAGTTCATCTTTTACACTACTCTAATAAAAGTCAATTCTAGGGCCGGCCGAGTGGCGCGATGGTTAAGAACTGGCTTGGGACGCCAGAGGGCCCCGGTTCGGATCCCACATATGAGGGCCAGTGACACTGCCCTCTACAGCTAAGATGCTGAACAACAGCTCAACCTGGAGCTGGGCTGCTGTGGGGCGACTGCGTAGGCTGCAGCCCCTGTGGCAGTGGTTGTCATGGGCTACCGTGTGTAGCCAGCAGCCAGCATGAGCGGCCATCCAGAAGCCGGTGACTGATCTGCCTCGCCTGGGAAGAGTGCAATGATGGTGCCAACTTGGGCCAGTGAAGCAACGTCCTCCACAACTAGACTGAAGAACAAAACGACAGCAACTTGTCTGTTACCCTTCCCCCAATTCTCTAGCACCGTTCCCATCCCCCCAATTCCCCAATAAAAAATCTTTAAAAAAAAAAAGTCAATTCTAGCTGACCCAACCCAACCATCTTCTTGGTGTTTATACCCAAAGAGATGAGCATTGTTGAAGGGGGGCAAAAAAGTCACAGAGACAGGAACACTGATGCCGTTATAGTTATTATCAACCTCCACTGAACACAATGACACCCAATGTTACTACAAGTATCAATATATTTCTCCAGTAAGCCCACAGGCCCATTCTCCAACTAGCACCCTAACACTATCTCATGCCTATTTATTCACTTATCTGTCTTCTCTTCCACCTCTCAGTTAATGGCATAGCCTTCTATTTTCATGATAAATGACCCTCTGCAGCCTGTCACAATCTACAATCCTACCTGTATCTGTATCCTTTTCCCTTCCCTATTGGCTCTCAAAGGGCAATCCTTTGATCCCAGCCCCTCCTACCTCAAGCTTTAGGTGCTAGAAAAGGTCAGGATACTGGTTTAGGACAGTAAAGCCAGAAGAAAAAACAAAAACAGGTAGCCCAAGGCTCCACAAAACTCTGCTTGAATACCAACTGATGTTGGTGCTATAAGAGAGGTATGTACCTAACCTGAGACCAGACTGACGTGAAAAGAGGTCAGGTAGTACTGACATCTGAAAGACAGATGGTAGGAATTAAGAAGGTGGGTATGAATAGCCAGAGGAAAGGACAAAAGTAAAATGTGTGGAGGCATAGGGTGAAAAGTTATGGGGAGAGAGGTTAACTGAGAAGCAGCTCTCATGCAATCACACAATTCAGGATGTTATCAGGACTTTTGTATCAAATTTCATTTTAATCAACGTCTCCTAAGGTAAAAATGAAGTTCTTAAGTCACTATCCTATTCCATTAAGTCTTAATATTCTTTTCCATCTCCTACTCTGAACTAAGCCCCTGTAGGCGGAGACTTTGTTCACCTGATCATCAATTATTTATTACTGAGCTCATACTAGATGCTATAGTTACAACCAAGGTAAAATATAGTAGTTTTGGTTATTCAAGTTTATAGTCTTAGGGGATAGAAAGTCAATACAAAACAGCATGATAAATGCTATATTAGAAACATATTGAGACACTCTCCACCTCAAGTTCTAGACATTAGACTTTGTTCAATTCTTTGAACACTCAGCTTCTCTCTACTCCAGACCTTCCTTCCTACAAACTGGTTCCTCAGCTTGCAATGCTGCTCCCACCCCCACCGTTATCATCTGCACTGGCTCCCACCAAACCTTTAAGTAACTTCCTCAGGAAGGTGTCCCTGACACCTTCCCCTGTCCACCCTCAGAGGAGTGACTACAGATTCCCATCTAGACAGATAAAAACCTCTGAGGAGTTCTGGGAGGGGAGTGGACGCCAGGAATGTTCTATAAGTTATTATAATTCTCAGTTAGGTTTGGAAGCCACTGTCCTAGATACTAGGTTGAGTTCCCTTACTATATAACACTCTGTTTCTTAACTGTTACAAAATTCATCTCACTTGTAATTACTTAACATGTCTCTTTCCTGCGAAACAACCTACTCCACTGCACTCTCCTGCACATAGTAAGCACTCAAATATTAGGTGAAATGAATTTTACTATATTCCCCCAACAAATCTCTTTTCAAGGATCTGATTAAAGGCAATGGTTTTCAAACTTATTTGACAATAAGATAAAATCCTTTGTTCAAAGAAAAAGTGAGAACCTCAATATGTAAAACAGGTAACAGCTGTTTTGGTTGAAGAAGCCAACAGGGAAGGGCCTTCAGGCTCGTTACCTTCCTTCCACCAATTCTATCTGAGGGGCACATGGAGTAAGGATTGAAAACCCCTGGTTTGGAGCACATAAAAACATCACTTTTAAATTAATATTATTAGATATAAGTAAAATCATGAAGTTAATTAGTTTGGTTGCTGTCAGTAATCAAAGATGCCAACGAGATTGTTTTTCCTTCATTCCTCATTCCTAGCTGAATAATGATTAAGCTGAAGAGGTCAGATTTTGTTGTTTCAAATCCTTGTCACATTTTCTCTGCCTCTTCACTCCGCTCAGTTCAGCAGAAGAGAAAAAATAAACACCCAATAGCACCTGAATATCATGAGAGATATATGAAAGGGTCAGAAACGTTACAAGAAACAATTTAAAGGAACAATCGTTGGCTCTACAACTAAACATGTTGATTTTATTAGTTCATAGGTCACACAGGCACTTAACCATGTGATAGCTAAAGCCACATAACCAAACAGAAAGTGAAATTAGTCTAATGTCTTCATAATCTATTTTGGGTTTTTTTCTGAAATAACATATATTATGAATGCCTTAGTGTAAAAGAACGTGGACTCTGGGATTAGAGCTGCATTAAAATGCTAGCTTTGATTCCTTAGGCCTAAATCCTTCAACTAGTCACTTAATCTTTTTCTGCCTCAATGTTTACGTCTATCAAATGGAAGTTAATAATTTCTTCACATTAATTCTCCTTTCCTTTTCAACCCTCCCTCTTCCCCTGGTCACAAGTTATTAGGGTCAGAAATGGACTGGGATATAAAGACCCTCGCAGTGATTCTCCCTGATTCAAAATCAGGCCTTGAGCATATGTAGCTGGCCATATGGCATGGCTTCCCTGGCTCCCGAGGAGAAATACCACTGCTATGGAATAGTCAAGAATCAAAGTACTGACTGGCAACTAGGGCTAGATCATAGCCTGCCACTCCTGATCCTCCATCTCTTGCTACCACATGGCTAGAGAAAAAACTTTTTCTCCCGTCACCTCCTCTCTTATCTCTTTGCAAGGTTATTTAATGGAATTCTCCTACCACAGTGAGATAAAATGTGCCAGGGAAGGGGGTGGGGAGCTCCTGCATGCCTGTTCTTGTTCTTCCTTTTCATTGAGGCCACTTGATCACTCTGGATCCAAGCTCTAGGTTCTGTAGACCTAGGCATTAGCATTCTTCACATGCCCAAGCTAGTTCATTGGGCTCGTACACTGGGGTTTGGAGACAAAGCTCCAGCTAAGGGGATCTTTTACAGGTCACTGTCTCTTATGTATGTATCTCTTTCGGAAAGCAAACATCTTGATATCATCAACCTCCAAAGCATGGGTAAAATGCAGGAGGCAGGTATATAGAGGACCTGAACCCAAATGTCATGCTCCCTTAGTGAAGGCACTTAAGCAAATGTTTAAAGACTAATGTTTCTGCCCACAAAGACCAACGTTTCTGCCCATAAAGACCCTGTAAAGGTATCCATTCAAAAAATATTTAAAGGATATCTGAGCAGTAGAGATAGAAGAATGACCAAAACCTGCTTCTTGCCTTCAAAATACTCACAGTGAGAAAGACATGAAAACAATCACAATACACACAATGACCAAGTACGTACAAATATAGGTACTACCTTAGTCTGCCTGCAGGAGTCGAACAAGACTGAACCTTAAAGAATTAATAGGAATTTCAGGTGGATTAAAGAGAAGGCATTCCAAGCAGAGGTTCCATCAGGGACCAAGACATATAGGTGAGAAGAGCTGCTCCATCTGGGGAATCACCCGGGCAAAATGGATTGTTGGTGAAAATGCGAAGGAGTATACGAGTGGTAAAAGATGAGGCTGACAAGGAAGGTGAGGATCAAATCATGAGCAGGCCAGTAGGCCAAGCTGAACAGTTTACTTTGAACTTTACCCACAGCTATTAGGATTTGGAAGCTACTGAAAACGGCTCAATTTAAGGAGTGATTAATCAGGCTTTATTTTGTTTTAATTGACCTGGTGACAATAGTGAATGATTATACTGGGGGGGTGACAAAAAATGTATACAAGTGGACACTTTGGTCAAAATTGCTCAAGCAGTAGTTTACCGTATAATCAGAAGTGTTTGGAAGCTGATGGCAACCACTTTGAGCACCTCTTATAATTGCAGAAGTCAAATGTGACTTGTATTCATCTTTTGTTATCAGTATATATTGAGTATTACAATTTTAATAGATTTTTTCCTTTCTTAAATGTGGATACTTGTACGTTTTTTGGCACTCTCTATAAATGTGTGCCTGTGTGTATTGGCACCCATGCTCAAATGCCTGTGTATGTGAGAGAGATGGTTTCAGGGTAGGAGGTGGGGGTAAAGGATTAGACTAAGAGATCAAAGATGACTCCCATGGGTGCTTGGGTGCTGTCAATCCCCGTGATAAGGCATATTAAGGTGAGGTGCAAGTTTGGGGGCAGAGAGAAAACTGATAAGTTTGTTTTTTATACCTTGCAGATTTTTTTTTTTTTAGCTGAGCCATCCTGCCACCTGTTGGCATCTCAGCGGCAGCTCAGCTTGATCCGGGACTTGAACCGCTGTTACTCAGAGCTCACACTTGAGCGAGCTCTTAACCAACTGAGCCACTCAGCCGGCCTCTGCAGATATTTTTTGATCTGTGGGAAATCTGGGTGAAGATGCTAAATCACCCTTAAGTTCTATGTATCTACAGCCTAGAAGCGGGATCTGAATTGGGCATTAAAGCTTGAGAATGATTAGGATAAAGGCATAGTTGACACCAAGGGCATGGACAGGGTAACTCCTAGGTGTCTGATGGAGGCAGTGGGTGCCTTCGTACCAGTCCCTTATACATACGCCGATCACCTGCTGAACATGCCTTCATCCTTTCTGAAGAAAGCTGCCACAGAAGTTCTTCCTACAGCGAGGCAAAGTAGGTCTCCCGACTTTGTACTCTGAGACCTTGGCCAGAGCAGACCCAAAAAAGAGCTTGATCCACAGGCAACAACTGATAGGCTAGTCAGAGGCTTATGAAGTGGCCCCGTACAGAGAGATCTGCCCACAACCACATGTCCATTCCAGAAAAATAATAAATAAGTTTTCCAACTCATAAAATGAACAAATATACTATCCACATGTTAGCACAGTGGCCCTTAACCAGTTATCTATCTGTATTGTCTTAACTGTCCCATACATACCTGTAAGGCAACTCCATATCAGAGAGAGACAAAGGGTTGTATCTCTTAACTTACATTGTGTGTTTTTAACTACTTCCTTTCACATATACATCACTCTAAAAATATCACAAAACTGAGAACAAAACAAAGAAAGGATTTTCACTATGCCTCCTAGCATTTTCAACAAGTCCCACATCACATTTAATTCACCTTCTCCAAGAACTCAAAATGATCCACACAATAACAAAAAAAGATTTTTTTAAAATTCTGTTTTAGAACAGTAACACCACCTTTAAGGAAATGAAACCAAAAAGAGGAAGCAATTTATTACAGCTAGAAGCATGTTAACCAAAGCCAGCCTGCAGTATACTGGTCATATACTTTGGAAATGTACAAAATTCTGGAGAATATTAAACGCTTATCATGATCTCAGGTATAGTAACCTGTAAAATTCAGCAATGTCCTGACAGCAATCTCCAGTTTAAATTGTGCTATTACATTAGCATTATCTCTGGATATTTCACTAAGTACCTCAGGTGTCCTAAGGAACTTGGTACCAAGTGACCAAGAAGTCACCATACATTTTTACCCACAGTTTTATTTAAATCTACCACAATCTAAATAATTTAACTATTCTACCATCTAACCTTAAAGTTAAGCTTTTCCTTCCCTCTTTCTCTTTGATTTCCCCCCCCCCCTGGCATTCTTAAGAGATCGGCTGGAGGGGGGGGAAGTTGTGAACCCAGTGAAATTGAATTGTATAAATGTAATTTTAAATAGCCCATAGCCTTCACCGGATTTTTAAAGGAGCCTATGGCCCCCTCAAGTTTTATGACCGATTCTACACACTTGGTCACTTAACACTTCTTAACCTGACAGCACTCATGTTAATTCAATCAAATATCCTCAGGCTTTTCTGGGGTCTTTGCATATTCTTAAGTATTTAAAAAATCAAAGATTCACAATGTGAGCTCTTTCCATAAGGATGCTGTTCTTGCTGATTCCTACCGAGGAGCTGCTTTTTTGGAAGAAAAAAATAAGCAGCAGCAAGAGTTGGTCAAACCATCTCTAATATTTTAGGATTGTTATTTAGAACTGAACTGTGGAGTTTCTCCCTCCTCACAAATTTATCAAGGAACAGATAGAATAAGTACCATTTATAGAACCCAGTGATTCATTTCAAGCCTGCCTTAATCTGAGAGCTGATTACTTTTCCTGCATCTTTATAATGCACCAGAAAAGAACGTGAGGCTAGGATTGTTTGGGCTGCTTCTGTGAATAAAGCAGGGTCATTAAATACAGAAAAAGAAGTCTCTATGACTGAATATATCAGATTAGTCAGTATGGCAAAATATCGGGTTAGCTCTAAAGTACACGACTCAACTAGTTTCCTTAGTTCTCTGGTTAACCGGTTAGTATAAGACATTTATTTTATGTCTGTAATTCTATTAGCTCCAAATGCTGCAAATGGGATATTTAAACAACTAAATCCTCAAACGTGGGTGAGTCAAACAGCTAATAAAAGTCCAGTGGCAACTTCGGAGAAGGGATAACGACGGTGTTCAGGATGCAGTCCGGCAAGGGGCTAACTATTACCCCACGGACATCACCTTTGCACCTGTTCTTAGGGATGCGTTTATAACCCAGGTAAAGCGACGTGGATGAAGGGAGAGTCCGGGTGCTGCGGGGCGCTGGCCAGTCCCCTAACTTGGCAGACGGTGCCCGCCCGGCCGCCGTGCCCTGCGGCCTGCACCAGCCCTGCAGGCGGCGGTCTCGCGTAGAGCGCGACACCGGGAATGGAGCCGAGAGTTGGCGGCGGACGCGAGGGGACCGCAGGGCCGGGCTCCGGGATCCAGAGTCACGCCCGTCTACTCTGATAGTGCTGCCCACCGCCTCCAGCCCTGCTCACCGGGACTCTTCAGGTTGTAGCGCGTCTCCATGGCTGGTCGCCGTCCCGGCTCCGGCCGCCCTACCAGCCGCCGTCTCCTCTCCTCTCCTCTCCGCGCCGCTGGCGCCCGGGTCTCAGAGCGGTTCGGGCCGACCGAGCCAGGCAGAGGGGGCTTCAGCAGACGCCGCCCAGCCCCGGGCCAGACTGCGGACCCGGCGGCGAGGGTGCGGGCGAGATGTGGGCTTCGCGATGGCGCCGCCTTCTCTGCTGTTCCCCCGCCTCCCTGAGGGCCGGGCAGGCGCCGGCGCCGGCCGGGGCGTCGCTGAAGCGGGCGGCCGGGCTCGGAGTGCCTTCTCGATTGGCCCCCGGCCCAACCCCGCCAGGCCACCGGGCCTGCGTCACCACCCTCGCCCGGGTTTTGTGAAGTTGGCCTGACGTGGCAGTCGCTTCGTGGCAGTCGGTCAGCGCAGCCTGCGGCCACTCTGCCGCTGCCGCGGCCCCACGAAGCCCGCGCCCGGGTAGGCGACAGCGGGCGGAGCCCTCGTCTTCCTCTGGCCCCAGCACCCGGGAGGCCGACCTTCCGCCGGGCCCATCCGGGGTCCCCAGGCGCTAGCGGGTTTCGCTGAGAAGCTGGGCGGCTGGGAGCGGCTCTGGCCCTACACGCTGCGGGTGGGATCCCGGACCCCAGCCCTCGAGAGCGCAGAGGGTAGCCCCGGGCTCCTGCTGCAAAGCTGCCCGGCAGCCCGGCCAGCCGCGCGCTGGCCCGTGGTGTCCGCGAAATGCTTTTTTAGATTCAGTAGCTGTTTGGGGTGGAGACAGTTAAGTAGGGAAAGGAAATTCCAGTGATAAGGGAATTGAGTCGGATTTTGATAACTTTGTTTTTTTCAGATAATGTGCTTAAGTGCCAGACATTTTTAAGTACTGCGAGGAATTTAAAACATTTTTAAACTTGTCAAAAAATAAAACTAAGGAATTACATTGAATTGGGGGGAAAGCATACAAACATGAAAGGTTTAACCTCAAAGGACACACTTCATGGTTCACTGTGGAAAGAGTGGGATGGAGAAAAAGAGGACTATGGGTTTTGAAGGCTTAAAAGAGGGACAAGGATTTAGGGAAAGAGGGCGAGAGGGACTGGAATGGTGGGGAGGATGAAGAGGGAAGGAAAGCTAGGTGGGATGAAGAGGGTTACTCAGGTTGGGCCCGTTTCATTTTGTTATATAAAGATAGGAAACTTTGTTTTTGAGGGTAGCAGAACATACCACCCAAAAAATATGCTTCTTGGGCATAAGGATTATTTTGAGAAAGAAGGCACAGGAAAACCTTTGAAAACAAGAGTAGAAGTTACCCTTTTGTAAGGGAAATTTACATTTGTAAAGGAAATATCTTTACATCTCCTTCTGTGTACCTGGAAGAGAAAGTTGACTCTATGAGGTCGAACAATTATGTTCTGGAGCTGATCCTAGAAAAAGCACTACATACCTCATTGCTGAATATCACTATGGTCACCTTCTAAGTACTCCCATTGGGGAGCTATGCACAGACGCTAGTGCCTAGTCCACCCTTCAAAGCAGTTTTGGAATTCTTTTTCTGGAATGGCCATTAGAGCTGTCGTCTTATTAACCTTGATGTCCTGAATGTCATCAAAATTTCTTCCTTTCAATATTTCCTTTATCTTGGTGTAAAGAAAGAAGTCATTGGGGGCCAGATCAGGTGAGTAGGGAGAGTGTTCCAATACAGTTATTTGTTTACTGGCTAAAAATTCCCTCACGGATAGTGCCGTGTGAGCTGGTGCATTGTCATGTTGTAAGAGCCATGAATTGGTGAAAAGTTCAGGTCGTTTTCGTCTAACTTTTTCACGCAGCATTTTCAGCACTTCCAAATAGTCAACTTGGTTAACTGTTTGTCCAGTTGGTACAAATTCATAATCTCTCTGATATCAAAAAAGTGTAGCAACATCGTTTTGACTCTTGATTTGGACTGATGGAACTCTTTTAGTCATAGAGAATTGTCTGACTTCCATTGTGCACTTTGAGCTTTGATTCAGGGTCGTATCGGTACACCCATGTTTCATCACCAGTGATATCACGGCCCAAAACATGGTCTTGCCTCTTGGCAAACGTCGACCCTCTTTTGCTTTTGTTCATTGGTGAGCTCCTTCGGGACCGTTTTTACACACACCTTTTACATGCCAACATTTTCGGTTAAGATTTTCCTGTTTCTCTATCGATGTTTACTTGGTCTGCTATGCTTCTTGCAGTCAGCCGACAATTTTGATGCACAATTCGGCGAATTTTTGCAATGTTTTCATCAGTTCTGCTCATCACTTGCAGCCATGATGTCTCTTCATTAGTGACATTTATTCATTTGTACACTGCCGTTTTCTTCGTGGCATTATCCCCATAAACTTGGACTAACATGTCCCTGATTTCACTTCCACTCTTGCCAAGTTTAACCAGAAATTTAATGTTTGTTCATTTCTCTAATTCAAACTCAGACATTATTGCAACAGCACACAAAAACACGCAACAATAATGAACGCCACTCAGCAAGACACCATCATACATCAACAAGAACACAACTTGAGACACTGATATACCAAAGTTATGAAACTTTACCGAGCTGTTTGTACAGTCCTGCCAATGTAAATACACGGTGGCATGTTAATTGTCAGACCTAGTATGGGATCTCCAAATCTCATGTATGTGGCGTTTCCCTATTATGTATGTATTTAATTTAGTTATTTTCTCTTGCTAATCTGTCTATTTGATTATTAGACCAGCCAAAAGAACCTTGAGGGTAGAGGAAGATTTCTTCCTCCTTCACACATACATCAACTCACTTATTATTCACAATAGCCTTATCACTTGCACAGATTATTGTTAACCAAAGTTCCAAAAGAAATTAAAAGAGAGTTTTATATCAACTATATGAATTGCATATCAGAGAATGTAGCCCTTGGTATGAACCAAAGACACGTTGGGGCAGGGGGAGAACAGGGTTTTGAAAAGAAGGGTTGCTAGGGAAACAAGGTTATAAACTTACATCATTCATTTTCTAATTGCTGAGGGCAATAAATTTTCAATGATAAGAACAATGGGTAACGTATGATTAAGCATTTATCAAAGTCCTAGTTCAGGCTTACAGAACAAAGACTTTTGATGAAGAGGTCCAGTACAGGGGGTGTTGCTTAGGAACCTCACAGGGGGTACGATTTATTAAATAATACAATCATTACAGGGGAGCTTCTTGCTGTACAGGTGGTTTCAGAGCCCCAAAAGGGCAAAGTTATGCTGAAGCAGGGCCCGGTTGGGACTCCCAATAGTAGAGACCTCGCCGCCATCCCTGGCCTCACCTTTCTTTGACCTACCTATAGCTTAACAATAGATCATCTCCCTGTGGCTTGAGCTTGGAATGTCCCCTGTCCCACCCAGTTCCCTGTTTTAGAAAATTACCCTGAAATTTATGATTAATACCCTTAGGTTTATTGATCACAATCTCAATGGTCTAAGCATCATTCTTTCGAGGCTACACCCATCATTGTTCCTGGGTTGTAGAGAATCATGTTGCCAGAGGGAAAGCTCCATGCAGACCCCACCCCCAACCCTCCTGTAGCCTTAGAGGAACGCCCAGATTTTCCCTTAAATACCCCAAGTCAGTCTGAGAATGTTAAGGCAGTTTTGGAAGGTGTTAACCTGCTGCCTTCTCAGACCACTGGTACTCTGAAAATAAATGCGTCTTCTATGACCCAACCTCATGTGGGTCTATTGGCTGAGCTGCGCAGGCAGCATGAGCCCCTGAGTCGGTTGCCCATCCGGTTTCAATGCCTTCTAAGCAGCTTCAGAGCTCAAGCTGCAAAAATCCAAATTTTGGGCCATAAGTTATGATATTAAAGCTCTTATAAGTCTTCATTATTTATATCCATTTTACAGATGAAGATAATTCAGGTCTCAGAAAAACCACGCAATTTACTTCATTACTTAGTTTACAACTACAAGTTCTTATCCTTTTGGCATATCATGTTTTTTTTTTAATCATATCGATGAAAGGAAATTTTTCTAGATTCTCATTTGTCTTGATTTGAATACTTTGAAATTCATTTTACAGAGGTTCTTAAAATTTCATTGACTTATTCAAGGCTACTTATCTAAAAAGTAAAACAAAAACCTGATTCAGGTCTGAAACCTGGATTGTTTTCACTATGCTAAAATGGAATCAGGCTGTGTCATGCAAGGCCTTTCCCCCCACTGTTTGAAAACAGGGATATGCTTCTTAGAATCAGCTATTCTTGGAACACATACTTGAAGATATTTATTCTTTAGCATTTAAAAAAATGGCCATGATGAACATTTTAGTGCATTTACCTTGCTTGAGTCTTTATTTATAAAGCATAGGTATTTGAAAAGAGTTGAAATTCCATTGTATATACTTTTTTATACTAAAAATATCTGCCATCAGCTAACTAGTGTAAAACAATAAAGAGCTTTAAGCTAAAGGAAAACAAAGAAAGGCAGGTTTTATAAAGGCTCAGGTTACATGTACTCTTCTCAATCTGGCCCTCTTTATGTAAATAAAGGATTCTGAATAGGTTAATTGGGATTGGTTGAGTTTAACATTCAAACAAAGCATGCTGGTTGGCAAAGCCTTGGCTTCTTTCAAAGTAAAGAATGTAAATGATCTGTTTGTCATGGTGAGAAAGAGGTTCATGGCTGAGAAGCTCAAAAGGTTACGGAGAAACGGGTAAGGCAAACTTTTTCATGGTCTCCCAGCTCCATGTTAATTCCCCTAACATAAGTGACTCCACTTTGGCAATCTCTGTACACCTTGGATTACTTGTTTTGCAAGTAGCAATGCTATTACCAGGTAAGTAGCATGAATTGAATAATTTTATATCAGTGTCTTCCTAAAGTACAAGTACAAATGAAAAAGCTTGGAAAGCCATAGGTGGTCTTTAGTGTAAACATTTTATTAATTCCTTTGAATATTTTACAGTTTTTTTATTTTTTATTTAAAAAAACACACCCCACCTGCCATAG